TAAAGATGTCNTAGAGAGTGCTGGCGACGCCGCCGTCATCATCAGTGGTGATGGTGGTACCGGCAGTTTTGATGGTGTCAAGAAAGCTGCTAGAATTGTTCGCGTTAGTGGTACTAGCTGAGATGATGTTGTCGCTGCTGAAGCTGATGTTGTCGCTACTGAAGTTGACGTTGTCGCTGCTGAAGTTGATGTTGTCGCTACTGAAGTTGATGAAGTTGTTGCTGCCACTGCTGATATAGATGGTGCCATTGTTGATGAAGTTGATGTCGTAGAAGTAGAAAAAACAGTTTCTGTTGCTGCTTTTGATGAAGTTGTTGATGTTAGTTTACTGGTGGGATTGTTTGTCGGTTTTGAAGATGGAAGGATTGTTAATGATGGAGATTTGGATGAATTTAAGGCTGTTGATGTTGGTGTCATTTTAAAATTTTTAAGCGTTGGCGGACTTTTCGTTGTTAGTTGCTTATGTTTGGTTGATTTTGTCATATCAGAATCTGACAAAACTAAGACAGATGAGGAATTTGGTGATGCCGATAATGTTGTTGTTGATGCTGATAATGATGTTGTTGTTGTTGTTGTATTTTCTGCTGTTGTTGTTCGTTTACGTTTTCGTTTGTAAGCTGCTGTATCCTCTTCAGAAAGTGAGAAATTTGATGTTGTAGTTGACGACTTTGAGATTATTTCAGCTGATGATATTCCAGTTGCTGGTGTATTTACTAAATTTGTTAATGTTGTTGTTGAGGCATTTACTAAGTTTGTTGATGTTGTTGCTGGCTTTGATGTCGAATTTTTTTCACCAAAGGCTATGATTGATGTCAGAGGCAATGGTTTAATAACCACTTTGCAAGGTTTTGTTAGTGTTATATTAGAGGTCGCGGTTTTTGCCGCTGGCAATGACGGCCTTAGTGTAGATATTGTTGTTGGCAACAATTTGGATTTAGCTGATGGAGATACCATTACTGGTACAGCTCTCTTTGATGTAGTAATTGCTGATGAAACTGTTGTTGAAGTCAGTGAAGTTGTTGCTGATAACGTTAAAGAAACTGCAGTTTCTACTGCAGTTGTGGTTGCTGATGACGCTACTGCTGCTGACGTCGCTACTGCTGCTGACGTCGCTACTACTGCTGTTGTTGTTGCAGTTTTCTTTTCAGATTTTGTAGCTGCAAATTTTGCTAAAGTTGTTGCTGATGATGACGTCATTGAAGTTTCTGTTGATGACGGTGGAAATGTTTTTTTATGAGATTTCGTTATTTTCGACGGCGGCGTCGTTGATGTCGTCGTTGGTGTCGCCTTTGAAGTCGCCACAGTTGACGTGCCGACAGTGGAATTAACTGCTGATATAGATGAGGAAAGCAAAGATGATAATGAAGGCGGTGACGAGGAATATGGTGATGAAGACGTCGAAGACGATGATGACGACGAAGACGATGATGAAGATGATGACGACAACGATGACGAAGATGAAGACGATGACGAAGATGATGATGAGGACGACAAAGAAGATGATGACGATGATGACGACGATGACCGTTTTTTGGACAATGCTGATTTTTTAGATGATGGTGATGACAATCTTCTACGTAATGATGACGCCGTCTTGTGTGATGATGTCTCAGACGATGATGATGATAATCCCTCAGATGATGATGATGATAGTTTATTAGATGATAATAATGATTTTTTAGATGATGATGATGTTTTAGATGATGATGTGTTAGATGATGATGATGATGTTGATGGCTTTGAAGATAGTATTGTGGCAGATTGTGATGGTTTTAATAATGATGAAGAAACAGCAAGTGATGACGACGACGTTGTTGGATTTTTAGATTTTGGCAATAATGTCATTACAGTAGATGGTGATAATGATGATGGTTGCGATGAAGAAGATGATAATGATGATGATGCAAAATAAGATGACGATACAAAATAAGATGATGGTAATGATGGTGATGACAATGATATCGATTTGGACGGTACTGTCAGAATACGTTTATAGGATGATGATGGCGTCCTCGATGATGTTGAAACAAAAGGAGATGATGATGACGACGATGATGATACAAAATGAGATGACGATGGTAAGGATACAAAACGAGATGATGATGTCCATGTCAATGACGTCGATGATGATGAAGACGCTCTTGAAGATGACCATGACGACGACGATGATGATGAAACAAGAGATGATCTGGCCAATGATGACGACAAAGACGATGATGATGATGACGATGATGGTGATGAAGACGATGATGGTGATGAAGACGACTGCGACAATGATGATGATGTCCTCTTAGAATATTTGGCCCTCGTCGAGTTATTGTTAATTTTCAACTTTCCAACATTGAAACATGGCTTTTTGACCTCCACAGTATTCTTAGTAATAGTAGTAGCTGAAGCACTAGCATATCTTACATTAGTAGCAGCAATATTAGCAGCAGTACTACTAGCTGTAGTAGTAGCCGTAGCAGTAATAAGCCTTAAATTTGTAACATTAGTAGAATTTCTAACAGCAGAACTATCAGTATTAAGTATTACAGAAGTACTTGCACTACTAATAGCATTAGTGGCACTAATAACAGGAGCTGTGGTACTAAATTTTAGACCACTGGAAGTAGAAGTAGTATTAGTGAGAGGAACAGTAGGCCTAGTGGTAATAAATCTTACATCAGAATCAGCATCAGTAATGTTAGTCAATGTGGCAGTGGGTCTGGTAGTATTGAATCTTACGTTAGTGTTGGTAGAAGAAATAGTAGCATTACAAACGGAGGTCCTAGTATGTGTTGCAGTAGGGTTCGGGTTAGATGTAGTTGAAGAAGCAAGAACATTAGCGTGAGTAGTAGAAGAAGTAGTGGTAGTAAGAGCAGTGGTAGTAGAAGTGGTAGCCGCAATAGTAGTTGCAAAACTAATTAAGTTATTAATGTCATTGCGGTCGCCATCAAGGTAAATGTTAACGCAGCTGTCATCAACATCATTGTCTGTATTATTATCATTGTTGTTGTTGTCAGCATTTTCATTGTTGCAAGTTTTATTATTATTATTATTAATGACGTCATTGTTGGAGATATTATACTCAAGACTGAAAGACTTGGATGATGTTTTTGAATGAGAAAATGTGACCAGAGACATCAGTGTTGTCGTTGTCACTGTTGTTGACGATGGTGATGTCACAAATGATGATGATGACGTCAAGAATGATGATGATGACGTCAAGAATGATGATGATGACGTCAAGAATGATGGTGGTGGCAGCATTGATGGCAATAATGATGATGGAGCTGGTGCCAAGAATAGTGATGAGGATGACGAAGACAATGATGGAAATAATGATGATGATGATGGCAATAAGGATGATGAAGATACTGATGACGATGGCAAAGATGATGACAATGAAATAGATGATTGAAGTGCTGTCAGCGAGTAAGATGATAATGACGATGAAGATGACAAGCCAAAAGATGTGGATGGTAATGTTGCTGATGTTGATGACGATGTTGATGATGATAACGGTGAACAGAGGGCACTCAAGTGTTGAAAATTCTGTTCTAGCCTATCTACTCTGGTGAACAGTTGGGCCAGGAGGTCTTGCGGTGACATTTGGGGCGGCGACCAGGGACAGGTCGAGGTAGGGGTGGTGTCTGTCTCTTCTCTATCAAACTTTGAACCTTTAGTAAGAGTAGGAAAAAAGTGAACAAACATTCAGAACATCTTGAAAGTCACTTAATTAATACTTAAATTTGAACATGAAATAGACTAATATGAAAGCAAAAATTAAAGAACACTAACAACATGTGAGTAATGCCGAATGTATATATAAACACATGTGTTTAAATGTTTATATATATAAATTATATATGTATTTATAAATTTTAAAAACATGTACAATACACTAAGAGTCCTAACCAGAAGTAGTATTCAAATTTCTCCTTGCAAAATAATCCCCAACAATGGACTCCAAATCAAAATCTGCTGAACTATTTCTCTGACGACCATTGTTATTATTAATGTGATTACCATCAGTGACAGCAGCACCACCTCCCTCCTCATCATCATCATCTCTAATGAGGTTTCTACTTCTAGAGTCGTCATATCTGAAATTATTATTATTATTATTATTATTATTACTAGTAGAGCTATAACTATGTAGTCTTCGACGACTTTGCCCATTATCTAGATTAATATTATTGTCGCAAGATGAGCTCCGTCGACGTTCAGCTTTCAGACATCTGTAACTGTCCAAAAAGTTTTTCTTTTTGAGATAATCTGTTGGATGAAAAAGTTTGAAATAGAATCCTTAAAAATTGGAATTAATTGTTAAAAACACATTTTTTAATGTAACTTAAAAATATAAGTAAATTATTGAAGATTTACACAATAAATTAAAATTAATAAATAAATTAAAATGGTCAGGCGTGCAAATCAAATGGTGACCCGTTTGATGGGACCAACAAGGAAGACTCAGTTTCTGAAAGAAAGACTAACCAAGTACTAGGCTAGTGATTTCATCTGGTTTTTTAAAATCCATTTTTGATAACAAAGCACAACAAGTTTATAACTAGGTGATTCTTATAAATATTTATTCAATAATTTAAATTGCGAAAAGAATTGAAAAACAACTTGACAGGCATTTAATTTAAGGATACCAAATTTGCAGTAAATGTTTATCAATTTTATTTTAGCGCCAAATAATGGTGGGCATATCTACGTAATGTCATTTCGCCATGTAAAACTTCGGTACTTAAATCAAATAATTCAACTACATGATATTCTTGTCTATTTTATAGATTTTTAAAATTTAATTTAATTAAACATAAAATTCTAAAAAAGATTTAATATACTACTATTATTTATATCTATATCACTTCGACACTCATTCGCAAAACACCTGGATCTTTAGAACTTTGGTTATTAGAAAGACCACACCTGTATTAATAATGTCTCCATGGTGACGTATAATAATGATACTGCCTTATTTACATATATATGTAAATGCAACGCTTTGATAATGATAAGTTTTAATGAATTTTAACTTTTAATTTAGTATAAGTTCTTTCTATAGTTGCTAAAATTGAAAACTTATAAGAGAAATTTTTTTGTTGCGGTTTTATTTATTGGATAAATAAAGAATCTTAAATAAATTGTGAAGCTTCATTGCAAAGCCAAATCTTAATGTTTTATTTTATTTTTATTTTATAACCTGGTTTTAGTTATTTTACTAAATAAACTTATAACATTATACAGAAAATTATAGAAAATACTCAAATTATTTAACTGAATTACTGAAAATTTAACTTTTTTCAACAGAAACCAACAAAAAATTTAACGTCATCATGTGATATGATCGATACATTGATACAGATAATAGTGCTTTTACTTAGCATTACTTTTTAATTAAAAATTATACTACTCTAAACAATAAAACTTGAAGAAAAATAGACGTTATTGTATAAAAACCATCTCCCACATCTTTAGCCATGCTATCCAAACGAACTCACGCCCAGCAACAGCAGAGAATTAACAGGGAGAGGGTCTCAGAAGCCATGGTGTTCGACAACACCCAGCAATACAAACAGATGGAAATGAAGAACACGATGATGCAAATTGATGAGAGAGCCGTTCAGCGCCGAAACTGGAGGGAGAAAATGATGGAGGTTGATGAAGCTGAGAAAAGAGATGCGTATTTCAAGGTTTTTGTTTGTGTTTTTTTGTTCCATCTTAAAAATTATTTTAGAAAGTTGTTTATTTGTTGTAAATTGGTTTTTTGCTTTGAGTTTGAAGTATATTGGTAAGTTTAAAGACATTTTGAAACAGAATTATTTGATCGTTGCTAACATTGGCAGGCGCGTATTATTGTTAAAAATTTGAGCACTGTAACTATGAATAATAAATACATCCATCAAAATAATATATATATATATAAGCATCAAGAAAGTGAGAGGTTGCGTAGAGAACGACAGGAAGAAGAAGAAAGGATGGAAGAAGAAGCAAAAAGAATGAATGAGGAAAAAATTAGAAATGAAAAAATAAGGCAAAAAATCGTCAGCAACAAGTAAGTATTATTATCCAACTTCTTCTATAAAGTTTACAGTATAAACGCTCATTTTTTTTATAAAATATTCCATCTTCAGATAATCATTATAGTTTCCTCACAACTAATTATCATGACTTATGAATTAATTTGACCGTTAATTTAATTATGCCGAATTTGTAGCGAAGAGCTGAAAAAATTAGAGAGACAAATACAGGCAGCGTACGCCATGAAATCCATGCAAGAACAGATGAAAAAACATGGCGTCAGCAAGCAACAGGAAGTAGCCAAAGATATCGAATACGCAAAAATTCTTGAAGAACAAAATAAAAAAACAAACGAAAAAATGATGGAGGATGAAAGGATGAAATTAATGGCGTCTGAAAGTTACAAAAAGGATTTACAACTGCAGAAGCAGGTACAAATTTTGTTTTTCATCATCGACTCGACACCACACCAATATGACAAAACCACAATGCCACCATTTATTAATAATAATGATATACGGCACAGTACAATATAAGTTATACGCTGCGTTTATGACAGCAGCATGAAAAATTGAAGAACATCAGCGTAATCTTTGCTAATGCAAATGTCCATACGATCCCATGTGCTCTTTTATTTTAAACAACTACATTAGCACAACACTAGCAACAACAAAAACAAGCAAACAAACAAGCAATACTATCCCAAATAAAAAATCAGACGAGCGAGTTGCTGAAACAAGAAATGAGGAACAAGATGATGGATTGGGATAAACATCTTGTAGATGAAGAAGTGAGGAAGATAAAGGAAGAAGATGAAACGTTTGTTTATCTCAGTGTGTGCTTGTGTGCTTGTGTGTATGTGTGTCTGTATGTGTTTTGTTTATGTATGTGCTTTTACGTGTTTTTTGCGCGTCTTCCAATTGAATTTTAAAATGCCAGTCATATGCATATCTGTCCGTTCAGTTGCCTACTCTATGGTCAATTTCTATTATTCAATCTTTTGATCGTCTGACTGTGAATTAGGTGTCAGGTGTTTTCGTCAGGTTTTATAATTTTTCCATTCTGTTTCTCACTGCGACAGGTCTGCCCAACTAGCTCGAGAGAGACGAGAAAACTATCGCAAGGCTATTGAAGAAGATGAAATGACGACGGCGAAGATGAAGATGATGATGAAGATGAAGACGATGATGGAAGAGGAGAGGATTGAGAGATATGAAAAGGAAAAGATGTTGGAAGAAGAGAGAAGGAGGAATGTGAGAGTTGAACAAAATGTTGCGAAAGAAAGAGTAAAGAACGAGGTAAAAAGCAACGGAGCGTTGTTGTATGTGTGCATTAATATATATTTACAGTTGGAAATCTTCTTCAGTTTCTCATATAATGTGCTGACTCTACTTTATTTCATAATAAATTTTTGTTACGCTCTTGTTTACTTTTAAGTTTTATTAAAATTTAAAAAAAATTCAAGCTAGCTTCATCTTGAAACGAAACGTCATTATGATTTTTGTTTTATTTAGTGATTTTTCAATTATGCCTTCACAACAACAACAACAATGACGTCATCACACATCACTAACAACCACACCGACAGTTGGCAGCCAGATTGAAGGAAGAACAAGAACAGCGCGATGAATTAGAACAGGCTCGTCTACTTCTCAGTCAAGAGGAATTAGAACAAAGACACAAAATAAACGAACAGGAAAAGGAAATTAAGAGATTGAGAGAGAGAGAAGAGTTGCAACGAGTGCGAGAAGAGATGATGATGATGAGAGAGCGGATGAGGAGGAGAGATAAGGAGGAAGAGGAACTCTTCAAAAAGGAGGTAGTTTCGTGTTGTTGTTAATATTGTTATAATAATGTTACTACCAACGCAACCACCACCAATGATTATTGATAGGTAGGTAGGCAGGTGGTTGTATTTTTATCAGGGTGTTAATGACATTTTATGATAATATTAAAAGACTTATTGAAACGAATAGATCAAAAAATAATGAAACGATACAGAAAACGTTCCAAGCGTTGATTTGAGAGCAACATTAGAAATAAATAAATTCCGTGTAATCATTTTCAAAGTTTGAAAATTAATTTTTTGCAGATGATGTTGAAGTTTGCGGAAGGCGACAGACTGGAGCAGATGAACGCGCAAAAGCAGAGATTGAAGAGGCTGGAACACCAGAGACAGATTGAGATGATGCTGGAAGATAAGCGCAAACATCAAGAGATGCTGAGGGTATGTTTGTTTGTTTGTTTAACACCGTTTTATCTTATTTAACATTATTTTACGGTTAAATAACGTTGCTTAATGTTGTTTAAATTTGTTTTACTCTTATTTAACATCGTTGAACTCTGTTGCATAACAAAACTACATATATAAAATGGAGTTGTACTTTTGTTATTTGTAATCTCGTTTCATTTGTGTTCCTAGCTTATTGCATATCAGCATATGCATTTTTTTCCACCGATTTTCTACAATGATTTTTATGTTTTTTTTACGATGTCGTATTTTCAAGCATTTTTAGATACTCTCAATTGATGGACAGTTTTGGAAATTTTATTATATCAAATTTTTTATGTAAAGGAGCAAGAGTTGAAAGCGTTGGAAAATGAAGAGAGAATAAAAGCGATTGAGAAGCTGATAGTTGAGGAGGAGAGGAAGAAGTTGTTGAAACTGCACGCGCCCAATCTCATCGGCTATCTGCCCAAAGTTTGTTTGTCCAACCTTACCGACTTTTGCCAATATTACTACTTATTAATCGATACTTACTTATACCTATGGTATTGCTAATTATGAATAATAAGGATTAATAAATTATGAATAACATTATTATTATTACACTTGAGTTCCGCTTACATCTTTTGATCGTAATAACCAAGTAACAAACAAATTTTTGTTTAGCGGTTATAATGTGATAAATAGTTATATCCACTGGAATGGTCTGAATTACGATATAGAATTAATTGTTGTTTTCTTGTTATATTTGTTATCTTCGTTATTTGACATTGACTGTAAACCATAGAATCTATTCATACCATAGAGGATTGTAAAATTGTACTGCAGAGGCTTGTGAATAGCGAGGTTTGGAGCGAGGTTTGAAGCGAAGTCGTAAATGGGATTTATGTATAGTTACTTGGATTGGTTTATTGTTTCTATTACTGTTGGCATTCGATTGGACGTTCAACAAAGTTTGCGTTTGAAGCAGTTGTATTCATCTATCGGAAATCTTGAATGAAAGACGGAATGACGAACACATGACGATTGTTGGAAGCTACAACACTGGTGCTGGAAATATAGAGATCATTGAAGTCATAAACATCGGTGTCGGTAGTAGAGAGCGTTAAAGTTAACAATTATATTATTTAATTTAATTTTGTTTTTAATTTACGTTTTATATTGATGACACGGTTTATATAATAATTGTTAATTTATTATCTTCCAAGGGTGTGATCAGAGATGAGAACGATCTTCAGATGCTAGGTCCAGATTTCATCGATTCTTATCAAACAATTTACGCTTAAATTATGTTAATTAGGTCAGTAATTATGTTAATTAAGTCAGTAATTAATGGGAATAAGTGTTTAGTTATCTATAACTTTATAAATTTTTACAATTTTAAAGTTACCCTATTGTCTCTCATCTATACATCTTTTAAAAACGTTTTGAACGATGTCAAATTGTTTTGTTATAAATTAATGGAGATTTTTATTTTTCATTGAAACATATTCACTATAAATTCTACCGAATGTTTGGCGTTAATATGTTTGTAGTTTGTTTAGATTTCGTTTAAACATACTACAAACATATTAACGCCAAACATTCGGTAGAATTTATAGAATATTGTAAATATATATATATATATATATATATATATATATATATATATATATATATATATATATATATGTTCTACACATTACACAGGTCTATGCGTAGTATTGTATTGTATTTGTACGTCATGTATGTGGTACAGATTTTATTTTAACCTGCGCTTTATTTTACTAACTTTGTTAACTGGCTAAACAAAATTATATTAAGTTTTCTGATATATATATATATATATATATATATATATATATATATATATATATATATATATATATTAGCCATTGATAAAGTGTTGGAAAAGGTTCAAAGGATGATTAACAATTGTGAAAGACTTTCATATGAGGAAAGATTGAAGAGATGGGATCTGACAAATTTGGACGAACGTACGACTAGAGGAGATCTAATTCAGGCGTACAAAATCGTAAAGGGTGAAGATGAGTAAATTCATCCCTATTCTACCAATTTACAGGAAATAGAAACACAAGAGGGCACTAGTACAAGCTTTTTAAAGAAAGGGTAGAAACAATAAAAGGAAGATTTTTCAGTTCGAAAGTTTTTGAACATTGGAATAAGCTGAACGAAAAATTCCATATTTTTTGAATGTGGCGCTGATATAGTAAATTAGGCTGGCAATTTAATACTAAATTCATGTAGTATTCAATCTCCTGAGCATGAAGTTGTATAATTTGGCAATGGAGATTGTGACGTTTTTGGTATCTTGAATCGTCTTTACGTATTACTATAGCTCGATTTTTCATTCATACACACACAAATACTCCACACACATACAAATATAAATACACAAACACATACATACATACACACATGTCACATTCATACTTACAGACACAGATTTAGACATTTAGTTGACAAAATATACATACCAAGTAGTAGTGGTAGCTGCATATATATATAGAATATATTCTATCTATCAGGGTAGCTGTAATTAAAGTTGTAGTAGTTTTAATAGAAACATAAAACAAATTAATAATTAATAATGTGGCTAATTAAATAATTCGAGTTATTTAATAATTTTAAGTTGGATCAAATATACAAATATAGCTGCCCATGGCTGACAATAAAATATTATTAATTTAAATAAAACTGACCCTGTGTTTATTGACGTACAGTGCCTACTAAAAGTTAACTTAAGTTACAGGTTTTTCAACTAAACAGAAAAGTCTTGCGATTTAAATTCGTGTTTCTAATTTAGTGAAATTAGTGTCCAATTTATTGTTTGATTTAATTTTTTAATGTAATTTAATATTTAGTTATTAATCTTATTTTGTTTAATAATCATTGTTACAAAAATTATTGCAATGATTTATGATGCTGATTTTGTTAAAAAATTATTAATATTATTAATACTAATTTCTGTTTATGGAAGAAGAAATAATTTTTATGTGGATTGTATGAGCAATGAAGAAAAAACTGAATTAAGGTCATCTTTATTTTTTTTTATTTTTAAACAAATTTATTTTATTAGTTAGTTTTTTCTCTAGCTCTACCTAATAACTAATGAGTTATTAATGACTGATGATTCACTATTTATTTAGAATAAAATAAATTGTGTTACTTTTTTTATTCAATTTTTTCAATTATATTGTCAATTGATATAATAATTATAGATTGATTATGCTATGATTATTGTAGAATTTTTATATAATTATTCATTAAATTAAAAACTCAATCTGATATGTGTTTGTACTTTTGTAGATATATATATATAATTATATTACATTTATATAATAAAATCATTGTTTTAATGTTTTTGTGTGTATAATCTGTAGTTATCAGGAAATTTAATGGACCTGTAACTAGTTTAATCATGAATCCTCAAATGCCAGCCTTTTTTCTTTATAGTTTATCTTATACAATGCATACCTTTTTATATAGTGCCATCACTTGGTGAAGTTGAAAAATATCACCATTTTAAAAAAAATACAATGGATTTTTCTAAAGTTTTTTCAGATAACTTTTTTTTATTTACAAATGTTCAATGGAAAAATTAAAAATCTTTCTAACATTTTCATTTTATTTGCTATTAATTAAATTTAATTAATTTAAAATTTTCAAATTAAATCATTAATTATAAATTTTTTCTTCAAACTTCTAAAAATTTATAAAAAAATCTATAATTATTATTTTTTTTCAAAATTTTCCACCTACCATTAAAGGGATAAAGCCTTGGAGATGTTTCACCATGCATTTAAACATTATATGGTAATGTTTCTCATTACACATTCATACCTGAACTAATTAAGTTTTATTAATCATTATTTTTGATCTACTAATATAATAACAATTTCGTAATTGTATTTAATCTAATTTAATAATTATTAAAATAATATAAACATGGGGTTATTTAGTTATATAATAATTATGTTTATAAAAGTAGTAGTTGTAGTTTAGATGATAATTGTATAGTACAATGTATACCTATAGTAGTGATGATAACTATTAATATTATTGTAACTAGTTTAAATGTGTACTTATTTGATAATAATATTATAACAAATTATAGTCATATACTTTATTTATATTATGACCAATCAAAAATTATTTTCCCATAATAAGGACGTGGCCTACCCCGCCGATGAGTTGATGCCCCTCAGTTGCAAGGGTCGATACAGGGGTTCCGAACCGAGTAGAGGTGACATCGATGATGTCCTGGGGAAGTTAGTGTTAGGAACATTTGGGGAATTAAATTTCAGAATGTAACTTTTAATGCATCTTTCGTGTAAAGATTGTTGTGTTGGAAAATTTTATGTGGGTGTGCGCGCGTGTGTGTGTATGTGCGTGCGTGCGTTTTTGTGTGTGTTTATTAATTACTAAACTCATTATTATAGTTTAATTAATACTTAATTCCACTTTTACATAAGCTTCTCTCTGACTCTTATTGATTCCCTGGATACGCTAGTGGTTAGTTGGTTATTAACTACTTTCTATAAGGCACTATATAAATTACGTTATTATTATTATTATTAATTTTTAATATTTCTGAATAATTTTCAGGTGCTGGGTGAGTTGGACTTGTTCGAGCAGTCAGTCAGGTTGATGCTGAGTGACCTCAAGTTTGATAACGATGTTGTGGTCTCGGTTTTCGAGACTAACATCAGAGTTGTTGGGTTAGTAATTAGTGTGGTGGGGATGATGACGACGATGATAATGATGGTGACTATGATGGTGACTATGATGATGATGATGATGATGATGATGATGATGATGATGATGATGATGATGATGATTGTGATACTGGTAATAATGATAATAATGGAGGTGGTATTGGAGACTTTCAATATTAACACATTCCTAATTTCCAAACTCTGCCTAATCCTCTTAATTGTCACCAGAGGCTTACTAGGGGGCCATTTGATGGCTGATCACCTGAAGCGTAAACACCATCGCATGCCGTGGTACAATGGTGAGCTACTGGACATGGCGCAAGATGTGGCTGATCGACTGCTACCTGCATTCAATACAACTACTGGAATGCCTTATCCTAGAGTTAGTTGACCAGTTTTTCTCATTCTTTCTTTCTTTCTTTTTGTTCTTTTTCACACACACACACACACGAACGCACACGTACACGCACAAACAGGTAAATTTGAAATACGGGGTGAACACGAAAGAGTCAAGAACGGGCCAAGAGAAGGACACATGCACTGCCTGTGCCGGCACGATGATACTCGAGTTCTCTGCACTCAGCAGATTAACCGGGAAACATATTTACGAGGTGTGAAATTGTGCCGTTTTTTGCCGTCTCCATCTTCATCCTCATCATCCTCGTTCTTCTTTGTTATTATTGTCATTATTATTGCTATTATTATTGTCATTATTATTATTGTTGTTGTTGTTGCTATTATGACGTCAGCAAAAAGCGACGACGGCCATGGACTACCTGTGGGAGTCGAGGCACAGGACGAGTGACCTGGTAGGGACCGTCATCAACATACAGAACGGGGATTGGGTGAGGAAAGGTTAGCCGTGCTTCTTCTCTTCTGTTCTGGTAACCTCATTATTATTATTATTATTATCATTATTATTATTATAATTATTATTATAATCATAATTATAATTATTATTGTTATTATTCATTTACGATCATCACCATGGTGGTCAGAGAGTGGAGTTGGAGCGGGCATTGACTCTTACTATGAGTACCTCATGAAGGCTTACATCATGCTAGGCGATGATATATACCTGGATAGGTTCAACACAGTCAGTACCCTTATTATTATTATTGTTGTTGTTGTTGTTGTTGTTATTATATTTATTTCTAAGAACGTCTTGCATAATTATTCCAAATGGCTTTTAAATTTTTATTATAATTGGATTATCTATAAAACTGACTATGAATTATATACGTAGTTTCAGTTTTATGAAGGAATGAATGGATGAAGAAATGAATAGATGAATTTTTTCAATTATTAGCTGATGATGAAAATGATTGTAATGATTGTTATCACCGCTATTACCAGTATCACACGCTCATGATATCATGTTTGTCATCGCTTGATATCATTGAATATCATTTGATATCTATCTCTATCTTGTTGTCAATACTTAGATTAAAAAACACGTTCTCTCTTATTGATTTGTTGTTCATTCATCTGTTGGCTCGTCACAGTATTGATTGAAAGATGATGTTAGTCATCATCATCATCTTCATCATCGTCTTCATCATCATCATTTATGAAAAAATATTTACACAGCTATCCATTTACTGGCTCGTCGTAATGTAATGTTTTTTGTTATCACCATCCATATCTTCTACTCTATAACTATCATCTTTCTTTTCATCACCACCATCATCTTCCTCCTCTTTCCCATCATCATTCTCTTCCTCATCATTATCATCTTCTCCATCATCATCCCATCATCATCATCCTCATTGACTCTTCGACTGACCGCCACAAAACCATCAGCACTACAAAGCAGTGATGAAGTACGTAAACAACGGACCCCTTATGTTGGATGTACACATGCACAGGCCTCAGACCAACTCTAGAAATTTCATGGATAGTCTTCTGGCGTTTTGGCCCGGATTGCAGGTTAATTAATTGATTGATTGATTTGTTGGTTGATTGATTGATTAGTTGATTGATTGATTGACTGATTGATTGATTGATTGATTGATTGATTGATTGATTGATTGATTGATTCATTCATTCATTCATTGATTCATTGATTGATTTATAAAACAATAAATGTCACCAGGTGTTGAAAGGGGATTTAAAGTCGGCCATTGAAATACACGAGATGTTGTATCAAGTGATGCTTAGACATAACTTCATACCTGAGGTATGCCAATTATTGTTGTTGTCTTTGTTATTGCTGTTGTTGTTGATGTTATCGTTGTTGTTGTTGTTTTTGTTGAGGATGATAATAACTTTTATCTCATAGACATAACAACAATGACAAAAACATTAACATCAGCAATAACAAAACCATCAAACGCAAACAACACTAACATAATTTCCCGCCAAATCAGGCATTCACGAGTGACTTTCGCGTGCACTGGGGCCAGCATCCGTTGAGACCTGAGTTCCTCGAGTCCACATACTTCTTGTATAAGGTTTTTGTTGATGTTTCTGCTGTTGTTATTTACTATCAATACACATTATCATCTCATCGTCACCATCACGTTGTCATCGTAACTAAGGCGACTGGCGATCCATATTACCTGGAAGTTGGCAAGAAGGTGATGGAGAACTTGAACAAGATAGCTCGCGTCAAGTGTGGCTTTGCCGCTATCAAGGACGTCACTACAGGAGATCACGAGGACCAGTTGGTTGATTGGTTGACCAGTTGGTTGATTGGTTGATTGGCTGACCAGTTGGTTAATTGGTTTGATTGATTGGTTGCTCAATTTAGTAATTGATGATTGGCTGATTGATTGATTGATTGATTGATAACGCATTGGCTGGCACACTTGTTTCACATACATCACACGTAAACTACACACACACACAGGCACACATTATATTATACCGAACCTAAACAGAATGGATTCATTCGTATTCGCGGAAACGTTCAAGTACCTCTACCTTCTCTTCTCCAACAAGGAAGACATGATGGTGGATGTGGATGACTACATCTTCACCACTGAGGCTCACCTACTACCTCTTTTCCTGTCGCTTCATGGTCCGCAACCGTCTGCTACGGCCGCTGCTGCTGCTGCTACAACCGCTTCTGGTAATAAGACAGAGGTTTGTGAAAGTGATGATTAATAACAATAGATTTAGTTTTAATACGTTGACAACTATTCTCCTTAAACTTCAGAATCTTTCATCTAACATACTGCAAAGCGTAAGAAATGAACACGACAGCATGAACGACAGTGATGACGAAGATGACGATGTCCATGAATTTGCAAACACCTGTCCCTCAGCCAGTCACCTCTTCAAAGGGGTGACCAGTTATGCCCATGACGTCAGGACGCCGCTCAAGAACATGGTGGAAAAGTTGTGCCCCATGCCCCTTACCACGTTGGTATATTTTTGTGTCAGTATTGGTTGACAGCTACGATAACCACAACAACCACACCACAACAACCACACCACAACAACCACGCCACAACAACCACATCACAACAACCACACCACAAACAGCCGCCCAGCGAGGTTGAAGGCTTCCGACTTCATAGCTGGCAACAGAGAACAGATGGAGAAATTGAACCATATGGGCATCAAACTGATCACCATGAATGATGGCAGGGTTCAACTCGTGCACATTGGTTCAGAGGTCATCTATTTTTAGATTTTTATTTTTTAGGGTCACAGTCGTCTTCTTTTAGATAATGTATTTAGGTCGATTTTATTAACATTTGTGTTGCTATTGCTACTAATTTTACCGAGTTTCATTTTCTACTAATACTAGCATTATTACTGCTGCTGTTACTATTATCAGTGCTGCTGCTACTGATGATGCTGATTATGATGATGTTGTTTATGATGATGCTGATTATGATTGTGGTGGTGGTAGTGATGATGATGATGATGACGTAACAGGCCTTGTCTCCAGATGACAGCCACGATGGAATGCTGTTCATGCAAGAGATGATTGAATTGTCCAAATATCAGTCGAAAGAAGGTGAGGATGATGAGGAGGAGGATGATGATGATGATGATGAGGAGGAGGGTTGAGAGGGTTATTGCTGTATAGGTGATAAAAATTCATGATGATGATGATGATGACGACAAAGAGGCTGATTTCAATTCCATACAAAATTCTATACATATGCACACACATCTAAAGACAAGCAAACCAACGCATATTCATAGTACCGTTAGAACCGAAGGTAGTTCAACTAATTTCGCCCCCGATGTATGGTGACATCATTTTAAAAGCTGGACCTGCTCAATTTGGCATGCGCCTGAAGGAACATTTTGGGGTTGGTTGGTTGGTTGATTGATTGATTGATGGATTGATTGATTGGTTGATTGATTAATGGATCGATTTGTTGATTAGTTTATCTAGTTGAATAGTTGAATGAATGAAAATTTAATTAAGTATTTTTCTTTTGCGATCACCGCGATATTTTCCATGTCCATTTCTTGCCCACTCAATAGGTTGAAGGTAAACTACAAATGTCGGAGCCAGCCGACGGATGTACGGCCCTCACAAATGCCGGCGAGATGTTGAAAGGGAAGATAGTGATTGTAGAAAGAGGGTCATGTATGTTCATTGATAAGGTTTGTCAACACAGAGCCATGATGTCATCTATAAGATATTTAGTACTTTTACCAAATTGTAACTAATTCTGTATGAAGAAACTAACATCTACCTACATGTATACAAACTCAGGCCCGTCGTGTGCAACAAGCTGGTGGCATTGGTGCTATTGTGTTTGGTGAGTTGTTGCCCACTTCGTCAATCAATCTATCAATCAATCAGTCATTTATTTGATCGATTACATATCCAGCCGTTTAAATAATACGCATTTTCTGGAAAGGTTCAATCAATCAATCAAACAACAATTTTTTACACACCACACACAAACGCACACTTCACACACACACTTAAACACACAGACAACAACTCAGACTCCTCGTCAGCGAGTAGCGCCAACCAGTACTTCTCGATGTCTGGCGACGGAAAGGATGACGTCACCATTCCCATGGTGTTCCTTTTCCGGGATGAGGCCAGAACGCTGAGAAATGCCTGGACGCTTGATTCGGATCTTGTCGTCTTTGTTGGAGAGAATCCTAAGAAGACAGGTCTCTTGTTTGTTTGTTGTGTTTTTTGTTTGTTTGTTTGTCGTTGTTTGTCGTTGTTTGTTTGTTTGTTATGATGTTGTTGTTGTTGTTGGAAGTATGTTGCTTTGTTTTCATTCTTTTTTGTTGTTGTTGTTTAAAATTTTAAAACAAAAAATAACTGAAATTTTACAGAACATCTCTTTATAATTTTTTTTATGAATGATTCCGCAGAGGACATAAAGATGAAGCTGGAGATGAAAAGTGAACTCGATAAGTTCGTCAAAACTTTAGAAGATATAATCGTTGACAAGAAAGCAGACGACAACAAAAATGGCGGGAAATCGACAAACGATTTCGACAAATTCGTCAACGAGAATGGATACAGATTACATGAGAAACTCGTCGACGAAAAGTTTGATCCGAAAATTCTAGAAAACTTGCCAGCAGCAAAACATGTTGAGGTAGTTGATGGTGGTGAGGATAATGATAACATTGATGATGGCGGTGTCATAAAATTAACTGGTAAAGTAGATGTTAATGATGGTGGAAGGGCTGAAGAGGATAGCAAACTGATGATTAAGAACGGTGACGATGATGAGGTTGTTGTTGACGAAAGTTTATCTAAAGTTATTGATTCAACTTTGGAGAAGTTTCTGGAGCTGCAGTTTAGTGATATGCTGAAATCTTTCGTGCTCTCTGATGGTAATATAAATATTAACAGTGCTGATGATAATATTAGGAACCTTGAGTCAAGAGTTGATGGTACTGCTTTAAATGATGGTAATAATCCGCAGCGAGAAACAACTGACTACCAACAACAACCAACTGACCACCAACAACAACAACAACCAACTGACCACCAACAACAACAACCAACTGACCACCAACAACAACCAACTGACCACCAACAACAACAACCAACTGACCACCAACAACAACCAACTGACCACCAACAACAACAACCAACTGACCAACAACAACAACCAACTGACCACCAACAACAACAACCAACTGATCAACAACAACAACCAACTGACCAACAACAACAACAACCAACTGATCAACAACAACAACCAACTGACCAACAACAACAACAACCAACTGATCAACAACAACAACCAACTGACCAACAACAACAACAACCAACTGACCAACAACAACAACCATCTGACCACCAACAACAACAACAACCAACTGACCAACAACATCAACCAACTGACCAACAACAACAAAATGATAAATTTGATGATCAGGATGAGTTAATAGAACTAATTAAAATGCAAAAAATTTTGACGGAGCAGAAACGATTGCTTCAGAAACAGATGTGGGAGCATGAAGAACAACAACGACATCAACAACACCTGCAACATCATCTGCAACAACATCAACAACACTTGCGACAACATCAACAACAACATCAACAACTTCATCATCAGCATTCGCAACTGCACTTGCAAAACCAACAACAACAACAACAACACTTACAGCAACACCAAAACCAAAACTCCCACATCTACTCCACTGATAATAATATTGAAGACAAAAGTAATGGTGCTGGCAATAACGATGGTGTGAATAAAATTGGTGGTGCTGATGATTATGTCTATGTGCCTTCGGGACCATCACCGTCAACGTCATCGTCTTCATCATCATCTTCACATCATAATGATAACGCTGATTTCGACGAGAGGACTAAACAAACATCGTCGTCGTCATCATTCTCATCATCTGCATCATCGTCATCATCTACGACTTTGCCGTTACATGACGAGACATGAATCATTCATCATTTTCTAGATTTTTTATCATCATTATTGCCATCACTGTTTTCATTTTCATCATCATTTACTGTTATATTAACGCTATTATTTTTTTTTAATCATTTAAATCCATCTTCTGTATTATTAATGTGATTATTTTGTTTAACATCAATATCTATCTTTATTTGTGCTGATGACGATGAAGAAGTGATGACGACAATGATGATGATGATGTTATAGATGATGATGATGATGTTATAGATGATGATGATGATGTTATAGATGATGATGATGATGTTATAGATGATGATGATAATGTTATAGATGATGATGCTGACAATGATGATGATAATGTTATAGATGATGATGTTATAGATGATGATGATGACAATGATGATGTAGATATAGATGAGGATAACGATGCATTACCCGAGTTTATTCACCAGTAGAAAAAAAATTATGTTCTGTTCTCTTTACCAGCTAATTTTAAAATTTTAATTTATTTTTACTTTCGTTTAGAAGCGTTATAAAATCATTGACTTATTTCATTTTTTAGAAATAAACTAAAGCAAAATACCTCTATATAACTCTATATAACTCTATATAACTCTATCAATCAATCAATCTTCGTTTAGCGTCCAGAGACCCAGTTTCCCGAGGTAGGACGTTATATAACTCTATATAAATTTATATAGCTCTATATTACAGATTTTTACTCTATATAACTAGAATAAATAAAAAAAAATAAAAACAAACACTACAAATAGAAATAATATGCAAACCAGTACCAAGCCCACCACGATCAAGCAGCACGGCATACCTGCGGAATGTATGTGTTGTGCGGAACAAGACAAAAAAAACACCTAGTGAGAAAATAGAAGTCCCTGCCCACCTATGTAAGCAATTATCTTATCCCCTTAGCCTAACTACATGTGCGTTTATTATTGCTACCTGTATAAGCAGTTCAATTTCCACTAAGAGGGATAGAACTTGAGACCACACCTTTCTTACTTTTAGCTCTGATCTGAATACGTATCGATACCTTTTTTGTAGAATCATGATTAGTAACGCAATGTTTTCTTAGAATCATGATGATCATCGTTTCGAGGAGATAGAGAGAGAGGAGAGAGCTCAAAATAATAACTTGAGACCACTCCTTACTAAAATCGTTGGCTGAATACATGTCGTTATCTTTTTGAAGAATCATGATCAGTAGCGCTATGTTATCACTATCGCAAATAATTGAACTTTTAAAATTTTGGCACTGTGTATCAATTAGTTCGGTCAAAATTAATATTATCGTCGATATCTCAATGAAATTAAATGAAGAATTTTTTTTAAAAGTCAAGGTCGGTTCCTTTTATGATGCCTCGTTGGTTCATGATCCTCATGGCTCGCAAAGTATGCAGTTACAGATTTGGTTTTCGAGAAGAATTATTAAAATTAGTTGGACCTCTCATACTTCGAATGAGGATGTATTAAAACAGTCCGGTTATGAAAAGAAGAAGTTACTACAGATAATCCGACGGGGGCAGTTGAAGTTTTTTGGTCACATCATGCGGAAGGAAAGAATGGAAAATCTAACAACTACTGGAAAGATTGCAGGGAAAAGAGATCGCGGTCAACAACGAACAACATTCGTGAAGTCCTTGTGTCACTTGTTGAATACCACCACTACATTTCAACTACTACAAAGCGTTAAAGATCGGGTTTTGTAGAGGTCGGTGGTCGCCAATGTCGTGAAAGGATAAGGCACGAGAAAGAAAGAAAAAAGAACAGCTATCATCAGCTAAAATATAAGACCCTTTACTACAGCATGACGAAAAATAGACCCCATATGGCTACAAACAACTAAAAAAATTAACGTCCCATGTGGCAGTTGATGATGTTGTTATTTTTTATTTAGTTGTTGTTATTCGTTTTCTATTTAGTTGATGCTATTAATTTTTAGTTAGTTGTTGTTATTATTTTTTAATTAGTTGTTGTTGTTATTTTTTTATTTAGTTGTTGTTGTTATTTATTTAGTTGTTGTAGTTGTAGTAGTTGTTGTCGTCGTCGTTGTTGATGTCTTTGTCGCGTAGGGCGTAGACCAGACTGTTCATTAAAAATATTATTATTGCGTACATCGGCGTTAACTTTTTGTATCTTGTTTCTGTGTGTGCGCGTATGTCTATGTGTGTGTATTTGTGTGTGTGTGTGTGTGTATTTGTGTATTCTTGTTTGTACGTATGTGCAAGAATTTGTGTATTTGTATAGGTTTGTGTAGTTTAAGTATGTTAAGGCGTTCGTACGTGTTTGATAAACGCACGTGTCTGTGTATTTGTGTGTACGTGCGTGTGCGTATGTATGAGCGCGTGTTTTTGAAGGTTTGTGTGTTTATTCAGGTTAGAATTGTAATTGAAATACCAATGAATTGGAAATCAGCGTCAGAAAAAAAAACAACGGACAAATAGATCAGATGATAGAGAGAGAGAGAAAGAAAGAGAGAGAGAAAGTGAGAGAGAGAGAGAGAGAGGAAGTAGCTACAGAGACAAAAAGTGAGGGAGGTAGGTACGCCGCCATTCCAACACGGCGTCCGCATGTACCACGTGATACTCTGACGTCAGCTGGTGAAAAAAATGGCTTCCACGGGTCGCAATAACCTGACCGTCCGTTCACTAAAATTAATATCCGGAAAGATGCGAGTGTCTGCATGATGATGATGACGATGGTGAAGATGACGATGATGATGATGGTGGTTGTGGTGATGATTATGATGGTGATGATGTCGAAGACGATGATAAGGACGGTAATGGTGAAACTCTAGAAATTGTTTGCTGAATTTTAATTAAATTTTGATATCATTATTGTTTTTTGTTTTTTCACGAAAATGAGTTTTGCAGGGTTGGTTAGATGTGAGGGAGGCTGATGTGAGGGAGGCTGAGGGAGAGTGAATGATAGAATTAGTAAACGATTGGATAAATGAATGATGAAATGAATGATTGAGTGAATGAATGAAGAAATAATTTAGTGCATGAATAGTTGAGTGAATGAGCGCTCAAGTGAGAATGAATGATTAAAACAATGCAATTGGTCTATTGAGCGAGCTATCATGTGAACGACTGAATGAATGAGTGAATGAATGGATGAATAGATGAATGGATGAACAAACGAATGAATGCACGGACAAATGAACACAGTATTGGTAATCATTTAATAGGTAAAAGCCGATGACGGCAGGCGATGTCATTAAGAGATGCTGAAAAAAAATTAAACATCTTGAATGACATCATTGAGAACAGCGTGGTCATATCTAGAAATACGTGGCATCAAATTACCCTGGTCATTCATTCATTCATTTTTTTATTCACTCTTTCTTTCCTTCATTCATTCATTCATTCATTCATTCATTCATTCATTCATTCATTCATTCATTCATTCATTCATTCATTCATTCATTCATTCATTCATTCATTCATTCATTCATTCATTCATTCATTCATTCATTCATTCATTCATTCATTCATTCATTCATTCATTCATTCATTTATTCATTTATTCATTCATTCATTCATTCATTCATTCATTTCATCGTTTATTCATTCATTCATCCATTCATTTTTATTTACGCTTCGTTTAAGATGCCAATGATCTGATGAGAGCTTCATTGTTGCGTTTGCTGTCTGCTTGCCCCACATCAAATCTTTCTCTCGCTCCATGATAAATGAATGAACAAATGAATTATTGAATAAACAAAGGAATGAATGAATAAACGAATGAATGAATAAACATGAGTAAATGAGTGAATGAATGGATGAAAGATTTACACGGTGGTTGGATAGATGAATTGAGAAAAAATTAAAATAGATATAAATAAATTAATGAATGAATGATCGATTGAATGAAAAAATGAGAGATTGAATGAATAAACAAATAAATGAATGAATGAGGGAATGAATGAATGAACAAATTGTTAAATAGATACATGAATGAATATTTAATATCAATAATATCAGCAAATTCAATCCAATTCACATATCACTAATTTTAAGATTGAAATGACAACCGGACAGATTTTTTTTTAAATTGACCACTTGAAAACAAGCCCCGCCTTTCCAGCATGACAGACAGATCACTAGCCAATCAGAGAACGAGTTTGAAAATGTATTCCCACCCATCCTATTAGGCGTTGATATAAATAGGAAGAGTTACATTAAGTTCTTGATTTAATGAATGAATTCGTCCCTCTTGTTCTACGTTCTTTGTACATTATAAATAAAAATAAATAATAAACAACAAACAATAACATTAATAATCATAACAATAATCATAACAATAATAACAACAACAATAACATTAATAATAACATATAATTAACCATAAATAATAAAGCCAATGATCAAAGAAGATAGATTGAATATTTTCTAATACTGATTTTTATATTTAATTACGTTAATTAAGAGATAACTAAGTAACATGACAACTGATACTTACAATAGCATCAATCACAATGACATTAACAACCACAACAACATCAACATCAGCAACAACAACAACACTATTGATGACGTATTTTATCAGTCTTTCGGTGATTTCGTACTGCTACAAAACTTAAACAACAACATCAACAAAAACGACGAGAAATGTTTTTACAACAACAACAACATTAACAACAACAACATTAACAGGACCTTTTATAACAACAAAAACAACGCAGATATTGATAACAATGACGATGATAATTGTAACATCAACAACACTAACAACAAAACGCACAAGGACAACAGCAGCAGCAGCAACAACAACAACAATAACAGTAATAACATCAATAATAGCAACAACAATAACACCAATGACACTAACAATGCTGCTACTGGCGGTTTAAAATGCAATTTTTACAACACAAAAATTAACGAAGAAGATGACGATGATGATGATTGCTGTGATGATAATGACGTCAACAATGATGATGATGATGGTTACAAGAATTATGTTCCTTATTATAATTACGCTGACGATGATGATGACGACGACGACGATGATGATAACATCAACAACAACATCAACAACAACAACAACAGAAGAAGAAATGACAACACTAATAAATCGTCCTCCGGTTATAAAAAACTAAACAACAAAAACAACAACAATAATAATAAAATGAAAAAATCAGTAAGGAACAACAGTTCATTTCAACGTTATGACAACAACAACAACAATAATAATAATAACATTAACGATAACAATAATAATAATAATAATAACATCAATGACACCAAAGACACTAACAACATGAACAGGAATAATAGTAATGAGAATGGCGGGAAATTGTTTGCAGCTAGCGACTTAACACTCGGCACTCAACCTATGTGTAACAATAACAACAACAACGACAACAATTACATCAACAAGAGCAACAGTGCTAACAGCGGCCACAACGTAAACCATAACACTAACGCCATTACAACGACAAACAAACACAAAAGCAAAAATGACATCAAAAACAACAACAACCACATAACCAACAGCAATACGATCGGTAATAACATCAATAAAACTACAAACAACAGCAGCAACAACAACATCAACAACAACAACATCAACAACAACAACATCAACAACAACAACATCAGTAACAACAACAACAACAACAGCAACAACAACAGCAACAACGACAGCAACAACGACACAGAAATCGAAACATGTAAGTGTTGTAGCAAGCAGATCGAAGATAAATTTTTGTTAAAAATAAACGAGGACTGTTACCATGAGACCTGCATGTTGTGTGACGTTTGTGGCTGCTCGCTCAATGGCTCCTGCTTTATCAGAGACAACCAACTTCTCTGTAAACTGGATTATGAAAAGTTAGCCGATTGGTTGATTGATTGGTTGGTTTATTGATTGGTTGGTTGATTGATTGATTGATTGATTGATTAATTAATTAATTGGTTGGTTGGTTGGCTGGTTGGTTGGTTGGTTGGTTGGTTGATTGGTTGGTTGGTTGGTTGGTTAGTTGGTTGATTGATTGGTTGGTTGGTTGATTGGTTGGTTGGTTAATAGATTGATTAATTGGTTGGTTGGTTAATTGGTTGATTAAGTGAACAAATGTATGAAAGATTTGATTGGCTGATTAATGCGATAATAATATCAATAAAAAATTTACTGACCGTTGACATTGTAAAAAATACAGAAACACACATAGGAACACACGAACACATATATATCTCTCTTTTTTTCTCTCTTCCTCTCTCTCCCTCCCTCTCTCTCTCTCCCTCTCTCTCTTTCTAATAATTTATGACCTCTTAATACAACGATACTTTTTTGCGAGTATGTGTCGAGAGGCAGATTACTTGAGCAAATAAAAAATAGGTGTGTATGTATGTACGTGTGTGTGTGTGTGTATGTATGTATGTGTGTGTGTGTATGTATGTATGTATGTATGTATGTATGTATGTATGTATGTATGTATGTATGTATGTATGTATGTATGTATGTAATGTAATGTATGTATGTATGTTCGTGTATATGTTTGGTTAGGACCATTTATTATTATTATCATCATCATCTTAAATAATACCATTCTTATTGAAAATACTATCACCATTATCCCCACCATCATCATCACCACCACCACCATCATCATCGTCATCATCATCATCGTCATCATCATCGTCATCATCACCATCATCATCGTCATCATCTTGTGACGTCATACTTGCTCTCGACAACGTGAAGCAAGTTGGAGTGGTTTAGAGGCCCTCTGCTGACAATAACTGCTTGTTGTTGTTGATGTTGATGTTGTTATTGATGTTGTTGTTGATGGAGATGTTGTTGTTGATGAAGATGTTGTTGTTGTTCAAGTTGTTGTTGATATTGTTCAGTTGTTGTTTTGTTAAGGCATATACTGTATTAACATATAAACAAGTATAGAAACAAACACATACATGAAAACTTTCTCTCTCTCTCTCTCTCTCTCTCTCTCTCTCTCTCTCTCTCTCTCTTCCTCGACATATCACTCCAGCATTTCCACTCACGCACATTATTTTCATAAACTTATGCGTATAAAAATGTTCAAACTAAAGCCAACAAACAAACAAACACACATACAAACAAACACACATACAAACAAACACATATACAAACAAACACACATACAAACAAACACACGCACACGAAGGTACATACAAACTTCCTTACAAGCATTCACCTATATGTAATCTGTACCCAAACCTGCATTCTTACACAGATAAAATATATGTATCGATACACGTGTTTAGATACACTCGAGTGTGTATAAAAATCAAAGCAAAACACAAGTGAACCAATCACATACACACAGGCACACACAAACACACAGTCAATCCCAATTTACCGGTTACTTAGAATTAGTAAACTAAAAAACACACATACAAACATCATATACATATAAACGAATATGCACGAATATACATACATACATACATACATACATACAATCACACATTGTACACTAACATACAAATATACAAAACATACATGCCTCAGACACACAAAAACGGATAACACTCAGGAAAACACAGGCGTGCTCACACACATACAAAAACGTGCACACACAAACGCACATACATGTGTGTACACACAAAAACGTACACACACACACACATACAAATACAAACACACGCGCATAGTGGACCCTTGATGGTGACAAGACAAACAGTTTGCATATTTGTTAAGCTCTTCTTCGCCCGTACATCAAAGCCTGCGCAGGTTTTTTCATCTTACCGACAATTTTCATATTTCCGGGGTTGTCTGCTTGCTGCTGCTGTTGCTGCCGCTGATGTGGCTGTGGTAATGTAGCTGTGGCGATGTGGCTGTGGTGACGTGGCTGTGGCGATGTGGCTGTGGCGATGTGGCTGTGGTGATGTGGTGATGATGGGGTGATCCAACATATCAATAATGATGACGCCAAGGATGATAACCCGATAACATTGATGACACGGCGGCCATACGACTATTGATTTTCATTTACTTCTTCCATCACAAACATTACCGACAACGTTCGTACATTTCATGTAGCTTGCAAACACGACAACGCAACAAGCAGCACAGTAAACAACAACTGAAGCAAAAAGTTTCAAATGACTTGTTGTCTTCTTATGAATTAAATTACAGATGTTGATAAGATAATCTACTTCAACATTTTATTCCATTGCTTTTTTCCACTTCTCTCTCTTTCTTTCTCTGTTTCTCTCTGTTTCTTTTTCTGTTTCTCTCTTTTCATTCTTTTCTTCTTTTTTTTATTTTCTGCATTGCTTCACTTGTTCTTTTTTGTCGTTTTCATTACACTTGCATCTTTTTGTTTGTGTCATTCATCGTTATAACTTAATTTTTTTACGCTTTCTCTCTCTCTCTCTCTCTCTCTCTCTTTCTACCTGACTTTCTTTCTTTTTTTCTATCTTTTTCTTTCTCTTTCTCTCTCTTCTTCTAACATCATCATCGTTGTCGTCGTCGTCGTCAGCATCTGCAATGTGAGCATGGGAAAATCACGAAAATACGATCCATATCATGACGGCATGACGTCACTGCTGGCTACCATGACAACGACACAACGACACATCATAACATCAACAACATCAACACACCAACACAACGACACATCATAACATCAACAACAACAACACACCAACACAACGACACATAATAACATCAACAACAACACACCAACACATCACATCATAACATCAACAACAACACCAACACATCACATAAACAACATCAACAACAACACACCAACACATCACATCATAACATCATAACATCAACAACAACACACCAACAATATCACATCTGGAAAACCATATTCGATAAAATATCACTACACAATATAGAATCAGCAACATCATCATCATCAACAACAACCACAACAACAACAACAATAACCACAACATCAACAACAACAGCAACAAAAAATTTTGTTGTCATGGTAACACGAGAGCACGCTCACAAATATTAATAAGCAATAATAGATCCTTCATAATCTTGGTGATGTTGATGATGATGACGAAGATGGCGACGATGATGACGAAGAAGATGACGACGATGATCATGATGATCATAATGATAAAAGGTTGGTGATGACAACCGTATGAAAGATAGGATAGATTTATATGATCGCGACATTCCACAACTTATCGTCAGTCATCATCCTCACGTTTAAATTTTCTACTTTTGATTTATATAAACTGTCTTGCATATCATTCTTCTTCCTTTTCTTCTTTTTTTTCTTCTTCTTCTTCGTCTTCTTCTTCTTCTTCGTCTTCTTCTTCTTCTTCGTCTTCTTCTTCGTCTTCTTCTTCTTTTTCTTCTTCTTCTTTTTTCTTCTTTTTCTTCTTCTTCTTCGTCTTATTATTATTATTATTTTCTTCATCTTCTTCATATTATATTATCACCATCATCATCATCATCATTACAATGGTCTTCGTCATCGTCATCATCATTCCCACTGAAACATCATATAACCGGCGAAGGCAGCATCTATCTACGTTGACATCCTCTTATCATTTTACGATCGTCATCATCGTCATCATCACCACCACCACATCATCATCATCATCACCACATCATCATCATTATCATCTTCACCACATTGTTGGCATCATCATCATCATCAGCAGCAGCAGCAGCAACATTACATCCATCTTTATCAAAACTGCAATCATCGTTACGGTAGAATTCGTTCTAACATTCATACAAGACGAACTGTTAAGCACACTAAACGAATTGATGTCTATTAATGTTACATTAATAACAACGTTAACAGCAACAAAAACGGCAATATTAACAACAACATCAACAACATCAACATCATCAACAACATCAACAACATCAACATCATCAACAACAACAACATCAACAACAACATCAACATCAACAACATCAACATCATCAACAACAACATCAACAACATCAACAACAACATCAACATCAACAACATCAACAACATCAACAACAACATCAACGACATCAACAACAACATCAACATCAACAACATCAACATCAACAACATCAACAACATCAACAACATCAACATCAACAACATCAACATCAACAACATCAACACCATCAACATCAACAACAACAACATCTACCTGCAACTAAGTTCAAGTGCCAAACGAGTCAAACAATCGCAATTTCTTGAGAGCCTGTTGATGATATGCCAGGAGTGGGTGCACACAGCTCAAAAGCAGTCCCCCTCTCTCATCATCATCATCATCTTCTTCTTCTTCTTTTTCTTCTTCTTCTTATCTCTCATTTTCCGTCCTTATCATCAATATCTTTCCTATCATCATCTACCTTTCGTTATCATTGTTGTCATCATTGAATTTCGCATATTCTCCTCCTCTCTCTCTCACTCTCTCTCTCTCTCTTCATCATTATCTCACTTATAATCGTTTCATCACTACTCTCTTTAATATTTTCGTCATTATTATCTTCCGTTCTCTCTCTCTTTCTCACTCTTTTTCACTCCTTCCTCTCACTTTCTCTCTCTCCATCTCTCTCCATCTCTCTCTTTTTCTCTGATGACGACGGAAAGAAAAAAGACAGAGAAAAAGAAAAAAGTAAAGAATAAATCTTATTAAAATATCTATGCACAAAGAACAAACAACATTTCTTAATATCGTCATCGTCCCTCTGCATTTCCGCTTCACGTAAATTTTGTTTGCGTTTAAACACGCTTGTTTGCTTGTCCGTTTGTTTGTTCGTATGTACGTGCGTTTCTGTGTGCGTATGCATGCATATGCGTGTATGTGTCTGTATGTGTGAATCAATTTAGACTAATATAATAAATATACACACATTTTGAGAGTGTGTGTGTGTGTTTATGACTTCGTCTGTACTACACAAGTATAGGCAAACGCATGTTTGTGTATGTGTGTTTGTTTGTGTATTTGTTTGTGTGTGTGTGTGTTTGAATAAATTTGAGTATGCGTGTATGTGAGCGTGTGTGTGTGTGTGTGTGTGTGTGTGTGTGATGTGTGCGTGATGATTGAGACACATTTAAACAATGGACAATCATGTCCAAGCAAACACGCCTGATTATATTGAAATCTTATCTCTGAGTGTCTACATACACACATAATATATATATATATATATATATATATATATATATATATATATATATATATATATATATACTTATGGAACAGAGAAAAAATGATCTCTTAGAAACAAAAATCACAACATCAACAAAGACATTAACATTCGCACATTTGTGGCATCAACAACAGCAACGACAGCAACAACAACATCACAAAAATCAACAACAACAACCTCAACAACAACAACAACAACAAACATCACCTCTACCTCCCCCCACACTACAAACATGCTGCCCATGTCGTCTACGTCACACGTCACATGACATCACTGATATATAAATATATTATATATATATATATATATATATATATATTGTACGTATATATATATATATATGTATGTGCGTATTCGTTTGTATATGTTTGTTTGTATGTTTGCATGTTTGTATTGTATGTACGGCTTAGCACATGACCTTTTGAATGGCTGGTTGCAGTAGCAACAACAATACAAACGTCCATCAGATGCAATAAAGGCATGTTGGTTATGATGATGATGACGATGATGATGATGATGATGATGATGATGATCGTTATACCGATGATGGTGAAGATGATGATGTTAATGATGATGATCTACTTATTCGTATTCTGATGTCAATGAACAATCTACTGTTATTTTTTTCAAAAACATTATTCCGTCTTATCGCCTCAGTCAGTTTGTCATCATTTTCTACCGTTATCATTGTCATCATCATCATCATCGTCGTCGTCTTCATCATCGTTTTCTCATCAGCTTCAGCAGCGCAAATAAAATTATTTGGTAAATCATGCGGATAACTATGACATCTATCCATCCATTCATTCATTCATTCATTCATTCTTCCTTTTTTTTGTTCGTTTTTTCATTTAATCATTTGTTCAATCATTCATTCATTCATTTGTTTGTTTGTTCATTGGTTTATTCATTCATTCATACTTACGCTACATTTTTTATTCTTATTTTATTCATCTTCTCTCTTACTTCTTCTTTATTTTATTCATTTAATTTTTGCTATTGCTCTCCTTCTTCTCGTCACACTTTTATTCTTATTTTTTCTTTCAATCTTTTATTTTCTCCTACGTTTTCACTCAATCTATTGCGATTTCATTCATCCACTGTCATACTTTGTAACACACTCTATCGTTAATGCATATCTCCATTCCCTCACTCTGAATTTATATCACTCTCTAATTTTTCACTCTTTCAATCAATCCATCCTTGTTTCATTCTTTCACTCTCTCACGCGCTCACTCTCTCCCACGTTCCCACAATCATCGTGCAATTTGACGAGGAACACCACCAGCAGAAATGATTTATTGGGTTGAATTGGAAAGGTCTTCCAATTGCTCTGGGATGAATATCGTTCACATCGTCGTCGTCGTCATCATCATCATCAAAGAGAGATAGATGAGAGGAGTGGAAAAGAAAATAAAGGAAGAGAGAGTGAAAATAAGTTAGAGATAGAAAAAGCGAGAAAAAGAGAGAAAAAAATAGAGACTAACTTTTTGAATTGATTGCATTTCAATAAGACTTTTTTCAATTGTTTATTTAATAGTTCGTTCGTTCGTTCATTCATTCATTTGCTTAATAATTCATTCATTCACTTGTTCACTCCCTCGCTCATTCATTCATCCATTCCTTTATTATAGATTTGGCAATGTAACGTTGATATGCAATTGCAAATAGAATTGTTTGAAATGCGTCTGATAGGCATTTAAGCTCTGTGAGAGCATTCCACAAGCCATCTTCACAATTCGTTGACACTTGCGCTTGTCTGTGTGTGTGTGTGTCTGCGTGTGTTTGCGTGCGTGTGGGTGTGTGTCTGCATGTATGTGTCTGTAGGTCTATATGTATGTGTCTATATGTTTGCGCCTGTATGTCTGTATGTATAAGATAGAGAAATATTTTATTTGACCTTAAATGTGATTTTATATGTTTGTGTCATTATATGCACGTATATAACGTGGTTTTTAAAACATTTTGGGCACGCACGCACGCACTCAGAACAAGTACACACACGTACACACAGACGCACACGCGCACACACATTGGTACATTGATATACATTTATAAGTGAAGCGCCATGCAGACGTATAGAATAATTTTTAATGAATAAATGTGCCATCTCCTTAAAATTTTAATTGATACAAAACCTGGAGTGATATTAATCCCAGCTAACCACCTTCATTAACGTTAACCACGCCTACATTGTGTCAATCATTACCTCATCTTGTCAATCGATCAATCCCTCAATTAACGAATGAATGACTGAAATCTACGTCACCAAAAACAACTACGTAACTTAACCTGACCCAGATTATACGCGGTACGTTGCACCGGCTGCTACCACGTCATCCAACCACGTGACCTAGTTATGAAGGTTAACAACAACAGCAGCAACAACAGCAGCTGCGTTTATCACGTGCACTGCTTCTGCTGTAGCAGCTGCGGTCTTCCGCTTCAGAAAGGGGATCAGTTTGTGGTCGATGAAGATAGGCAGCTGTATTGTAGGTTGGTTGATTGGCTGGTTGATTGGTTGATTGGCTGGTTGATCGGTTGGCTGGTAGATTGGTTGGTTGGTTGGTTGATTGATTGATTGCTTAACGAATGAATAGTGAGCTGATTTATATTCTTTTTTAAACTGTCGGATATGATTTTATTGATGTTTAAAACATAAAAACCCAACAAAAACTATCAGATTAGATTACGAGAAGAAGATGGCCAATCAATTTTCCTTCCTACAAAACAACAACAACACAAACACAAACAACAACAATAATAACAATAATTTAGTAATATCTCCACATCAAAATCATCATCATCACAACCACCACCACCATCATCATAACCACCTCAATCTCCTCCCTCCCCCTCCCCATCACCATCTCCATCACTCCGGTTTTGTTCCATTCCCATCAACACCGTTCAACGATTGGTACAGAATTAAGTGTAAGTACCTTATCCATCAGTAATTATTTTTAAGAACACATACACACACACGTGCACACGCACAGAACTATGCTCTTTGTTTTTCTTTCTTTCTCTCTCTTTCTCTCTCTCTATTTCTCTCTCTCTCTCTCTTTCTCTCTTTCTCTTTCTCTCTCTCTTTATCTAACTATCGGTTACTTAAACGTGCGTGTGTTTTTCGTTTTTATCACACACACACACACACACACACACACACACACACACACATCTTTCACATTTTTTTTTATTTCACTCACAAACACACAAAAAACCACACACATTTCTCTCTCTCTCTTTCTCCCTCTCTCTCTCTCTCTCTCTCTCTCTCTCTCTTCATTCTTCCAATCTTACAACGACAACAGCCGACGACGACGACATGAGCAGCGGCGATGAGATGGACATTGACCAGAGCAAAGGACCGAAACGACCGCGAACCATCCTGACCACCAGCCAACGGAAAAAGTTCAAATCATCTTTCGAGGTCAACCCGAAACCTTGCCGCAAGGTCAGTTCCGGAAGGGGGGGTGGTGCTCTTTATGTTTATGATTTGTCAGTGAGAAAAAGTTAATGAGAGAGAAAGAGAGAAAAAGAGAGAGAGAGAGAGAGAGAGAGGGAGAAAGAAAGAGAAAAATTAAAAAATGATCGATAGAGAAAATGATAAATAAAAAAAAGTTAAGAAATAAAGGAAGTAGAAGAATAAATTAAAAGATGAATTTGAATAAAAGTGATTTTCACGATGAAGAGATGAAAATGAAATTCATGAAAGAAGCGATGACCGATGACGACTTTGACGACAACGATAACGGTGATGTCATAAGTGACGTCATCACACGACACCAACCACACAGGTTCGAGAGGCTCTTGCGGCAGAAACAGGGCTCAGTGTCCGCGTCGTGCAAGTTTGGTTTCAAAATCAAAGAGCCAAGGTTTCTATTATTTTATTTTTGTAATTGCTCTACTGCTACTGAATAAATGAATTAATGATTGGATGAATGAATGAATGAACGAACGAACGAACGAACGAATGAATGAATGATTGAATGAATGAATGAATGAATGAATGAATGAATGAATGAATGAATGAATGAATGAATGAATGAATGAATGAATGAATGAATGAACGAATTAATGAATTATGCAATGAAAAAATAAACAATGAATGAATGAATGAACTAATGTGTAAATAACTTATCAAATGAATGAACGAATCGATGAGTGTATTAAAGTAAGAACGAACGTATGAATGAACGAATGAACGAACGAACGAGCGTATTTATGATTGAATGGATGGACGATTAAATGAATAAAAATTAAAAGATGAAGAAACTAGCGAGGAGGCAGACGGACGATGGACAGACGAAAAAATCCAGCAAGCAGAGGAAGGATGATGATGACGTATCTGGTGATTGAATTTTATTTTTCGGAATTCTCTCTTAATTTTATTTTGATTATAAGTTTAATTTATTTTAATTAGTATTTTATTTTAACAACAATAACAAAAATAATAATAATAATAATATCGATAATATCAACAAACAAAATAATGGTATCAACAACAAAATCAACAACAACATAAACAAAAACAAACAGAAAAATCATCCCCAACGAGTGACGTCATCTCAGCAACGACAACAAATTCAACTCAACTTTCCAACAGCAACAACAACCACAACAACAGCAGCAACAACATCAACAATAGCAACAACAGCATCAACAACATTGTTGACATGAATCATCATTTACTCTCTGACCATAGTTCGATTGGCATGTACGCTCCCACTGGTAAAATGTTGTTGTTGTTGTTGATGATGTCATTGCTGTTGTTGTTTTTAATGTCTCAAATGATTAAATACATTTACATATTTAATAAATGTAAAAATAACAACAAAAAACAACATTCTCCCTCTAGCGCATGAAAGTAACGACAATATATTATCATCGTCTCAAGATTACTTCAACAACAACAACAACAACAACAACATCATCCTCAACAACCACATCAATAACAGCATCATCGGTGACGTCAGCAATGACATCATCATTAGTAACAACAACAACAACAACAACAACAACAACAACAACATGGATAGTCTGGATCATTTGATCACGTCCGGTTTTTTATTAAATCCAATTGACAAGCTATACTCAATGCAGAGCTCATACTTTACAGTTGACTAACTGCTTATGTGTGTGTGTGTGTGTGCGTGTGTGTGCGTGTGTGTGTGTTTTTGGTTAATATTATTGTTGATAATATTTATTTCATTCAATATGTTGCTTAAATATATTAAATTTGTTTATGATAAAAGGAAAAAATTTTTCCTCGGTGTATTTGAATTTATCCATACATTTGGAAGCCGAAGAATTTGTTATTATCGGTGTTTTTCTTTGGTTTCTATTTGGTTTTGTTCTTGATAATAATTACAACAATAACAATGATGATGAAGACGATGACGGTAATAAATAGAAAAAAAACAACTGAATCACCGATCAACAAAAAATTTATTTGTGAAGGAAGAAAAGAAATGAAATTTTAAAAAATAATTTCAAAAGATAAATGTGTTGGGCCTTTCATTTGCCGTTAAATAGTATAAACTAATTGTTTATTGACCAATTAATTAATTAATTAGCTCAGGAACCTGAACAAATCTTTATCAAAACATGAGAATGTACTATGTACAGTAGAATAAAAATAACGTCAATTGTATACACTCATAATCATTTGGTTTTCATGATCATCGAGACATAATTACCTTCATAACTATCAGCTTAATTATCATCATAATAATTATAACAATTTTTTCTTGTCATTCCAGTTACTAACAAACACAGTTACGATGCAAATGCTTAAAACTAAACATTTGCCATCCAGTGTTTGTGTGTGCGTGTGTGTGTGTGTGTGTGTACGTGCGTATGTGTAATGATTAACGATACTAACAAGCCTGTTATTATTAGTTATTGATAAAATACTCAATATTACTACTACTACTACTTATCAATATACATAGCACTACTTAAGGAGAATTTTTTTAAAAACTTAGTAACAGTGGTACTTTGCAATTCATATTTGGTTCTTTATAAATGATTTTTGGTACTTTATAGACTGTAGCTACTAAGCAAGAAAGAGATGGAGGGAGTGCTTGCTGACTTATGTTATATAGTCCGGCCAGAGTTAAAGTTAAATGTTAATAAAAATTTAGAATTCTAATTAATAAAAAAAATGTTAAATCAATAAAATTCGATCGAATTTAAATAACAATTAGGGGTTAGTTTGTTGGTATTATTGATAGTCAAAAAAAGAAACTTTAAAAAAGGATTTGTTAGTTTATTAGTTTTCTTATTTTTGTATTAATCCAAACGCAAGTCAGTTTTCACAACACCCAAACAACATCTAATATTGTTAAATATTGTCAAGTGTGATGTGTAGGAGTGTCTTGTATGTGTGTGTGTGTATGTGTGTGTGTGTGTGTGTCTGTGTTTGTTTATTATTCGTATAAATTTTAGATTATTATATTATAATGGATGTTATTGTTTTCAAGTCGATTGCAGATCTGGAGAAAAAATTTTAGCTGAAGCCATATTGATGATGATGGTGACGCCAATGTTAATAATAATAAGAAATAACTTTATAACAATAAGAATAATAATAAATAAATAATAATAACAATAATGATATAATAATAACAAATAAAAGAGTAATAATAACATGAGACAGCTGATGAAAAATAAGTTACGCCAGCTAAGTGACGACGATCTTACAAAAATGATGATACGAATGATCATACTGTTGATATATAAGTGTGTGTGTGTGTGTGCATGTGTGTGTGTGTACGTGTGTGTGTGCGCGCGTACGTACTACCTAAGTATTTGATATTTGGTTCGGGATGTTGATATGTTTGCCAATAACTTCCTGACTTACGTCAGAAATTTATTTCAAGAATTTGAAAGATAAAGTTTAATATTTTCGACGTTTCTGTATAAATTATTGAAGTTAATAGGACAAATTTTTGTTAGAAACTTTCCAAGAAAAATTGGAAAGTAAGGAAAAAAGTGTGATGGTGGTGGTGCAGTGTGCTAAGCGTATTTTTTAATTAATCTATCTATCTAGTTTTGCGGTTGGTTGAGATTTGTTGGTAAACATATTGGTTGATAAAATTTATGGTCGTTTGACTGCTTGGCTGATTGATTGGTTGATTAACTGGTTGAATGATTGGTTGGTTGATTAACTGGTTGATTGATTAACTGGTTGGTTGGTTAATCGAGTTGATTGACTGGCTGATTGGTTGGTTTGTTGACTGGTTGGTTGGTGGTTGGTTGATTGACTGGTTCATTGTAGAATTGTATAGTTTCACCATTTTTAACTAGCAGGTAAGGTTTTATAACTAACCAAAGGATATCGTCTCAACTCACAAACAACAAGCGTTTAAAGGCAAATATGAATGGTAAAAATAGGTAGATAGGCAGGAAAAAAATGAATAAATGAATGAATAGATAGATGGATGGATTCGTAGATGGAAAAATTGTTTAATGATCAGACAAAGGAAGGGATTTAAAAATGAAATAGAATAGAAATGAAAAGAATACTAGATCTGGAAATGGTAGGAGTCGAAAGTTGAAGACTACTATGGCCATCTCTGTTCCATGTTTATCGTTATTTATATTATTTTATTATTATTTCTATCATTTCATTGTTATTTTTGTTTTTGGATATAAATATTTACATATTTTTATTCTGGCGAATGCATGGTCGAAAAATGGATGACATCATTGTTTCTTTCTACTGCAACTGTCATGCTTGTTAGCGTAATTTTGTTTCAATTGTTGTTGCCAATGTCATTGTCTTAGTCGTTGCAGTTGTTGATGTCGTTGCTAGTGTTGATGTCATTTCTGTCAGTGTGACCGCTCAAATAGACGTGTGTGTGTGTGTGTGTGTGTGTGTATGTGTGTGTGTAAACTTATAAGAGAAAGAAAAGAACGCGAACGAAAAGCAGAAAGCACAAATAAAACTGAATTTTTCGGTAAAATAATCAAATAAAAATTAATTTAAAAATAATTAGAATTAACAAAAGATGGAACAAAACTGGAACCGTAACAGAAATAACAAAGAAAGTTATTGATTAATTAATATTATTATTACAATTATTTATTTTTTTATACGAGTTTATTAGCTGCGGAATTAATTAGAATATTAATAGCCGGTTAAACGAATGTCTAGAAGCGGCCTGGAGAATAAAAAAACAAACGAAAAACAGAAAATGATATCATTAGCCAACTAACTCAAACTTTTTTCAACTTAGGATCAATAACTGAAAGGAACTGAAAGTTTCAACCAAAAACGTTTTGTAAAAATAAAAAGAAGCTATTTCCAAATTTATAAAAAATAATTTGATATAAAAATGAGAAAAAATAATTTTCAATTCAATGTAAATGCGACAGCCTAAATGCTTCAAGATTAATTTTTAAAAAAGTTTAGGTTTCATAACAAAAATTGTTGGTCAGATAGAATGAAAGATATATAGATAGTTGGATACATATATATAGCTTGATTGATTTGTAGATAGATAGATAAAGAGATAGATAAATAGATAGTTAGTTGGATTGATTGAATGATTGATTGAATGAATGAATGAATGATTGATTGATCGATCGATCGACTGATTGATAGATTGATGGACAGATTAATTGTTAGATAGATAGATAAACAGTTGGAAAAAAGAATGCAATTTGTAACTTAATGCAGGAGATAATAGATTAATTAATTAATTAATTAACTTATTAACTAATTGCTTAATCAGTTCATTGGATTTTAAAACATATGGAATGATAGCTCTTGGTACATTATCTAAAAACCACGTATTGTAAAAAGGATATAAGATAAAATAATAATATTATTATTATAAATGATATAAATAATAATAATTATTATTATTACTATTATTATTACTAACAACAAAGGTACTATAGCCATTACGAACGAACCGACACAATTAAAAACTTAAAAACAAGTTACAAAATTGATTTAATAGAGTTCACTATGTATAATTCAGGTGCAATTAAATTGAATGTTAGTTCGTATCTTTTAAAATAATTCGTCCAGAATATAATTTAATTTAGTTGTGATATAATTTACTTTAGTATTAAGACGTATGCGTGTGCATATGTTTGTATGAATAACGTAACTTACGTAATACATACACACACATTTGTGTATGTATGCATGTGCACATAAATCTGTTATTCATATTTGTATTGCGTGTTTTGAGTGTGTGTGTGTGTGTGTGTGTGATGGTTATAACAAATCTTAACTTTCAATCGAAATTTAGAAGGCCTCGTGGAAGATGACGAAGAAAGGATGATTTCAAAAGATCACACCCTCCACAGTTACGTGCGTGCGTGCAATTAGGTGTACTTGGTTGTCTGGGTGTGAGTCGCCTTCTCCTGATATTGGTAGTGTGTGTGCGTGTTTGTGTGTGTATGTGTTGGTGTGTTTGTGTGTGTGTGTTGTGTTTGAGAGAAAGAGAGAGAGAAAGAGTGTGTATGTGTTTGTTTGTGTGCGTGTGTGAGAGAAAGACAAAGAGAGAGAAAGAGAAAGAAAATGTGAGATGTGAGTGAGACGTGTATGTGTGTGTGGGGGGGGGGGGGAGAAAAAGAGACAGAGAGTGTGTGTGAATTTTTTTTTTTTGGTTTTGACTAGTGAAAACTACAAAATTTAAGTTGTTGAGAAAAACATGAAATTAACATTTCCATCGGCGTCAATGAGTCTCGTTGTGGCCTGTGCACCTATACCCCACGATTCGAAGTTCGCCTCAATATCACGGGCTCCGGCGTTCTTGGGTTTGGCCCCTCTGGCGTAGATCTGGCGGTGGAAGGTTTTTTTGGTTTTACCATTTAATAAAATGTTGGTGTAGGAATTGAAATGGCCTCGATGTACCTATGAAGAGTTATTAACGTGTTGTGAAAATTCCTTACCGTGAAAAAAATTTTTGGTTAATTTTTTGGGTAGCTGTTTGCGCGAATTAAAATTAGGTAGGCGTGTGAATAATTGTTGGGTATTAATTTTATTAGACTTTGTACATCTGCAGTGCATATTTCTTGCGTTTGTACATTCATCTGCTCGATCAATAACTTCTTGCTGGCTCGCTATTTATAGTCCTAAAATTTCAAACTATGAAAAAAATGTAATAAGTTAAATTTTTATTGAAATTTATTTAAAAAATATATATATATACCCCAACTTTCTGGCCCCTCTTCAGACTTGAGAACCTGCTGTCCAGTTTGAACTCAGGCTGGTCTCTGCCATCGACAACTCTTACGATCTTCCATCCTTCAATGTTCTCTTCCTGTTAATTTTTCAAATTAAAATTTAATTTTTCATTGATATTTAAAATTAAAGATTTAAACTTTTTAATTCATGAAAAAAGATGCATCAACATAAGCAAAAAACATTGAAGCCGGTGATGACGTTAATCAATTATTATACAAACTTGACAAGTTAACAAGAATTTGAATTGAAAAATTAAGTGGATATTGACGTATAAATTAAAAGAGTAGTGTTTTATTGATAGATCTGCGTGTTGACATTACTTACCTTGGTTCCGGTATTTTCAAGCTCGATCAGTTTGCCATCAGGAGTGCAAGTGCTGATGGAGATGGGACCGAGAGCGGATTTGTGGTACGTCGTTCGGGCAGACATCTGACCAACCACTGAGGAATATCCCGCTGAAAATGAGTAAAATGATAATAATAGTTAATTGATAATTTTTTAGAAATTAATAATAACAAAAATTTTTTTAAAAATTTAACGGTTAATAAAAAATTTTTTATAATTACGAATGCCAGACATTTTTTCAAACATCCAAGTTATAAAATGAAGAAGTAACATAACAAGATGACTTACAAACGGAGCCAGCGCCGCCACCACCACCACCACCACCACCAGATGAATATCCGTAGCCAGCACCACCACCAGCTCCACCACCAACACCGGCCCCTCCATACAATGAACGTTGGTTCAACCTTTAGTGTTGGTTAAGTTAATATATTGGCTGGTTGGGTTTTGAATTGAGGATAAACTTTAATACTCCAAATTTGTGCAAGGTTTTCGTTTTTCAAATGTTTTTAAATATGACCAATTCGAAATTTTTTAGGTAGAAGCAAGTCCACCAACCTATTCTCTTCACCCTCCAGAAGTTTTCTGTAGGCAGCAATTTCCAACTCCAAGCCGAGTTTGGTGTCCATGATTTGTTGGAGGTGGCGTAGGATGGCGTCCAACTGGGCTCTCAAGTCGATGGCCTCACCCTGCAGTTGAGTTCTCTGCAGTTCCAGTTCCCTCTCTCTATCCTCTTTCTCTCTTCTCAACATCTCCAAATCTCTTTGCAGCTTGGCGTTCTGCAAGTATGACGACAGTAATACTTTTTAGAATAAGCATTCATAGCTTTGAAATTCGTTGGATAAAAGACTTTTAAGATTTTAGATGCTGCAGAACAAAAATTGAGAAAACTGAAAAACTGGGATGTAACCAACCAACTGCGAGAGTTCGTTGAGTTTGTCCCTCATGTCCGTGAGGTCCTGCCTCAACTTGCTCGTGTCCTCCTTCGTTCGAACTGTCTCCGCCGCTGCCTTCGCAACTCCAGTTTTGTATTCTTGCACCTGTCAAAATGACATCTCATTAAAAAACCGAAACATTGAATTGTTTGAAATTAATTCTAAAATTCAAAAAAATTTCCAAATGATGTTCTCCATTTTAAGAGCGTAACCTACCTTAGATGAATAGTGAGTCTCCAGTTCGCTGCGGATGGTATCCATCTTATCGTCATACATCTGCTGAATCTCGCGGATCGCCTGAGCCATCTCATTCTTCCAGTAGTCTCTGTCGGGGGCGATATCCCTGTATGCCAGGGCCGCCAACTCTTTCATCTCCTGTTTTGCGAGGTGGTTTCGCATAGTTTTACTCTATTTATTTCTCAAAAACACACATCGAAAATCTTCTGGAATCGTTATAAAACTGTAGTTTTAACAGCAAAATTTTTGATTCGCCACAAATTTGAGTTTTTTTTTACAGCAAGTAATGAAAATGTTGAAAGGTTGCTTGCCTGTTCGTGGATGGATTTGAGGAAGTCGATCTCTTCCTGCAAGGTCTGACATCTGTTCTCTGCGTGGATGTGCTCCAACGTTTCATTATCCAGGTCCTAATTTTTTTCGTGAACAGTTTTCAACGTTTTAACAATTTTAAAATTTTATTTCACCAATAATGCTGAAATTAAAAAAAAGTTTTAAATGAAAAAATAATAACGGAATTTTAAAAATCGAAATAAACGAGAATAAAACTTACAGTGCGGGCTTTAGCGAGGAGTTCCTTCAGCTGAGCAATCGTCTTCTTATCCTTCTCCTTCTCAGTCTCCAACTGTTCGATCCTCTTCCTCAAGATTTGAATCTCGGATTCGTAATCGAAAAGAAGTTGGTTGTTCTTCGCTAGGAAGGCCTGGTTGTCGGCAAGCTGCTGGGCCGCCCACGTCAACCTAGACGAAACGAAATGAAACGGAATGAAACGAAACGCAAAAAAAAACAAAATGGCACAAAACATTAATTATTCTTTTTATGATATTTATTCTCATTTATTATAATAAAAAAATGTAATGTGAGCTAGTGCATGTTTGAATTAAAAAAAGAAAAAAGGAAGATAAAAATGAGAGGAAATACTGAAAGGAGAAAGAGTGAGAAAATATGGGAGAGTGTATGCGAGAGGTAAGTAGACATGTGTGCTTCTTGCTAAAAAAATGCATAATTGATCGGTTCGGTTTGCCGCTTGTGTGTGAACAACAAAACCACACATACACACACGCACGCACACACCATATACACCACACACAGACGCAAACACACACCACATATTAACAATTCAATAATAAACAAACCTCGACAATGCAAATTGGTAGGTATAGGGTACATTCAAATGTGTTTACGTCTTAACAAAAATGCATACAAAGATATGTATATACTACTACACATGTTTGTGTTTTGTGTTCGCGCTGTGATGTGTGTGTGTGTGTGTGTGTGTGTGTGTGTGTGATGACAGTCTATAATATTAATATATCAAACTTGTATTATATGGAAAGTTCTTTTTAATCATCGTGCGTTAAAATGCAAACCCGCGTTGCTACATACAACTGCCTACCTACCGCTTTTATCGTATGCATAAGGTGTAAGCCATCTATTTTTATTTATTTGTCTATGTATGTTTACGTGTATGTGTGTGAGTATGTTTTTGTATATCTGTGCATGTGGGTGTATTTTTGCGTGTGTATGAAAGTGTACGTGCGCTTACAATCGCATGCTTTGTTTATGTATTGCAAAGACATCTCGCATAGTAATGATGATAATGATAACAATGGTACTAATGACGATGATGACGATAGTCTAATTGGATTGGCTAACATCTGTTTACAGGTATGAGTCAGTCAACGATGATAATAATAATGATGATGACGATGATGACGAATAATAATAATAATAACAATTTTAAATAACAATATTAGCAATAATAATAATTATAACACTAATGATTACAATTACTAATGATTACAAAATTATAATGATAATGATGACGATGATGAAATAGAGCACATATAATTTGCATGTGTGATTGCGAAACTGTGATAAGATGATTTTGGCCCGTTTTCTCGGAGGACAAAGATGATGATGATGAAGATAGGGATGACATCGTTACCATCATCACCATCATCATCTTCATCTTTTTCGTCATTTTCATCTTCATCGTCATCATCTTTTTCAACATTATTACCATCATCTTCATCATTATCTTCATCATCATCACAATCATCTTCTTCTTCATCGTCACCATCATCTTCTTCATCATCATTATTACCATAATCTTCATCATTATCTTCATTACCATCATCACCATCATCTTCTTCGCCATCATCCTCTTCGCCATCATCCTCTTCATCGTCTTCATCATCCTCATCATTAATGCAAGCTGGGTTCGCTTAGGCAGGCAGAAGCAACGTAAGCAGTATAGATAAATCAATAAAAGGCCTAAACTTCCACCACGTGTATTATATATATACATATATAAATGTGTGTGTGTATGTGTGTGCGTGCGTGTGTGTTGCTGAATATTCATTGGTGGTTGTACTTATTCATACATTTTATACCAACCATACGTCATTCTTAAGATGTGTGTTGCTGGCAAACAAATGCGACAGAAAAAAAATGTGCACGCACACACGCACACATATACACACAAATACGCACGCACATACAAACACACACATATACACTGAAACAAGCACATTTTTACATATACGTATATAAACGTCAACACTCAAATATATCTATAAATAAATTCACATATATACCACATACATATACACACACATACATATACACACACATACATATACACACATATACACACACACATACATCCATACATACATACACACACACACACACACACACACATACACACACACACACACACACATTCGATTGATAGCTTTAAGATCTTTTATATGCATTGCTAAATAATAACGACATTTATTCTCTAACTGATACCACTACTATTAAATACTTTCTCGATAGTCACAATAATTGCAGTAGTAGTAGTATTAATGGTGGTAGAAGCGATTGTAGTAGCAGCAGTAGCAGCAGCAGCAGCAGTAGTAATAATAGCAGTAGAAATAGTAGTTATAGTGGTAGGAACAACAGCCGTTGTAGTAATAATACTAATAGTAGCAGTAGTAGTAGTAGTAGTAATAGTAGTTGTAGTTGTAATAGCAGTAGC